AACATTTCAATTTACAAACGTTTAGCGATTAGGGCATGATTTCCACACTAATCTAGTTTTGCTGCTCGTTGCATAATTATATGTATGTATATTAAGTTCAAATTCTTACCTTCGTTTTGCAAACGCTTCCCATTTCCGTTCCAGGAGTTCCTCTAGCAATCCATCAAAAAAATCAAGATGACTACTTTTATCCTGAAAGTAGCACGTCCGTTGACTGCACGAACGACTTCACCATGAACTGCTCTTCTTTTACCCCATAAACGACATTGGCAAGGACTGAGCATGGATTGAGATCTCCGTCTTCTTCGCGTATACTGTCGATTTCGACAAGAGGATAAGCCTTACACACGATGTTCCCGTACCTCCATACAATGTCCATTTCGCATTCCAGCAACAGAGAGAACATCTTAAAGGTGTGAAAACATAACAATTTTCATTGGAATTGAGTGGTATTCTTGAAATTATCGTTACTAAAATGAAAAAAAGTAGAATTTGTTATTCTGAATGGTTATGCTCAGTGAGACTGTGGGGCACTGATATTTTGAAGACAGAGGTCGCAATGGTCTGCCATGTTTCGAGATAGCGAGAACCTTGGTGTGGAGCCGAGAAGCCCCACTGAAACTCAATGATCTGTCGGAATATCTGCTCATATGTGCTCTACAAGGAGAGAGAAATTGGCAGTTACGATTTAGAGGCTTCCCCTGTGGTGACTAAGGTTAAATAATCTTCATGACTGCACTACTGTTAACTTGAATTACTCCGATGGTGGGAGGCCTTACGGGCGTAGTCACACACACGCAAGCGGGAAGCATACGTCGTTTTTGTGCATATCTGGGAATAGCTGAATAGGAAATGTCGTGTTATACAGCTTTGTAGCAATTTTATGTTTTCTTTTTCATTGATGCACTACTTAGCATCAGCGCCTTCGTTCTTTTACCGGCACGTTAATGTAATACATCCTCTAATGGTGACCTGTGCCTTCAGTCTGAAGGCTCGGGTTTTCTTGGCTCGAAGTTTCTCTAGCAAATTATCCAAGAGCCTTTGCAAAAACTACTCACCCTTTTGTTGGCTAACCGAGCGGCTAGAGCCAGTGGAGTCAGCTTGAGGTTGTTTCTTATGCTCAAGGATGCACCACTATTGTAAGCCAAGGTGAACATCTCCTTAAAAGTTCCTAATTGCTTTCGTGATTTTCGTTGATTTTGCAAATTGTATAACTCACGGGTAAATCATGAATGACGGTAAGATGTAGAACAGTGTTACCGTTGGTATCAGTCTTGTTAGGGTCGGCTCGGAAGGCTCTCAGAAGTCGAAAGCAGTCCTACGAAAATATTCTTTCAGAAAAAATCTTTTGACGGTCCATAAGTAGAACAAGAGGAAACATCTTGTCCACCGTCCACGTTGCTCCTTTTATAAATCTGTCTCTAGTCACTGATAAGAAGCCTAATAGCAAAAGCTCACTGCAAGTCCGTGGACAGCGGGATGAGTATGTATGATAGTGACAGATCATTCTGTTACCTGATTATTAGTGCAAGCAGCAAATGACAGTGGCAGCTCTCCCCAATACATCTGCCTGGAAAAGGAACTGACAGTCATTACATAAGATATCCAACAAGCTGAGAATCGTGTGCTTTATCACGGTGTCAAGTTTCTCCTGGGTGTAACAGAATAAAATTTTTCAACCCTCTAATCCACGCCTTTCTCTTGACCCCCAGAGACATGCTCACTTCTTGTTCACTGACAACCAGACCGTCTTCAAAATGGTGGACGTGTCGGAAGTTATTCATAATTATCAATATTGAAGGAAGGTAAATTGAATGGTAAGAATTACAGCCAGGGCAGAATATTTGCAACAACGAGCAATTTGGCACTGAACAAAAGAAGTCAAAAACAATGAACGTTTTCTCTCAGAGAATTGTCTGATCTGATACCAAGTGAGCAGCAGCAAGCAGCGTAAGGCATATTTCATTAAAATATTTACGGTTTTGGATGCTGTCAGGGTGAAAAATAGTACCGAACCCCTTGGCTGAGTTAGGGAGAGGGGAATTGATTTTGAGTTTATATTATACTCTACCCCTAAAGCCTTTCGACCTCTCTTTACCACCGTCTATGCAACGCTAGTTTCAGCAAAGTTGGCTCAAGGAGTTAGCTCACTATTATGGTTAGAAAAAATGGAATACGTATGCCTCCGACTGTGACAATGACCTACCCTGTGTAACGCGTGTTCTGTACGAGATCCACCCATTCATGTTCCAAAGAATCCGTACGAGAAGCTTTCTGATCGTCGGCACAGAAGAATGAACCATAACAGCTAAAATGGCATTTTTTTACTCACATTGTCAATGGAAGCTAGTAAGCAAAAGTGAAAATTTAAAGCTCTATTCAGGAAAGGCTTAGAGGCCACATTCCTTGCAGATTTTTTTGTTCCGAAAAAATTGTTTACTTTTTCAAAAATTTTACTTCCATAAACACTCTCATGTTTTACTTTAAAAGCTGTTTTAGGAGTTCAGGAGGGGAAATGACCAACTAGATCAGATTCATCTAGCGTTTGACACAATAAAATACAAAGAGCACTTTTGTAGAGTAACAAAGCCCTCTAAAGAAGAAACGTTCCCTTTTTCGAAGATCGGAACCACTGATGACTGAAATTATCACCATGTTCAGACTTCGAGAGTGAACTTACAGATGACATCGCAATATTAGCGGCATCAAATGTAAACTGTCCTCCGAGAATCAACTACATCCTCTCGTCTACTCTGTGTGTATCACTTGTTTCTTCTGATTAATGTTTGAGAATGTTTGTTTGTTTTGATTGTTCATTGATAACTCAGCCTGTGCAAAAGGGCAGAATCGTTTTGGCGTCCTCGATGTAGGGAACGTCCGTTCCGCGTGTCCGTCGAAACTCGGTCAACCCGCCCACCGCGCGCGGCGCAGCCCACTGCGATCTCAGGATGCCATTACAGTACCACTAAGCATCAGTGGAGGGAATGATTGATTTGCACTAGTCCGTGTCATCTACACCCTAGGCTACCTGTCCGGACCGAGCTCAATTCATATGCCCCACTGACGACTGCGACGTTTGTCAAAGATCGCGGGCCGACAGGCCGCGCGCAACGGCTTATGACCTAGTTTCGAGGGACTTGTGGAACGAAGCGCATTTTCTCGATGTAGTCTTATCGTAAAAAAAGAGGCATATTAATTGAGAGTTNTGCGCCAACGGCAGAACTTAAGTTACCTACTTGATTGCACACTTATGATACCGCCAGGTCATGCCTGTGGTCTCAATTCAAGAGATACTCATGTCAAGTTATGCCTATGGTTAATATGTTGAACTAGCATGTTATCCATCATTCTTGTAAAGGCTAGTTCTATTACAAACGTATACATGGTTGTGAATCCACAACAAAGCGCATTTTCTCGATGTAGTCTTATCGTAAAAAAAGAGGCATATTAATTGAGAGTTTTCATTGGCTCGTAGTTCTCAACATTTCCTTTCTCACTTGGCTCTGGCGGAAGATTCTCGAGATTGCCTTTCGAATTTCCTTTAAACTATAAACATGTGCATGAAGAAGGAAGCATATCTTCAATTACATTAACCAGCCGTATCGCATGGCTAACTCCGAACTCCCCACCTCTTTGTTGGAAGTTTACCCGCCGCATGCACTCTTCCATTTTGGACACCGTCCAAGCGAGCAGGAACTCTTGTGGACCGACACCCTTTGCACGCGCCCAGAGCGGAGTGCTGCTCAAGTCCCGTGTGTTTAAGGACCTTGGTTTACTCGTCACTCGTTCATACTTTACTTCACATTTTTAGACCGATTACGCTCATTCTTCTCATTACGCTCCGCCCCTGCATCCCCTTACGCCTCTCGATACGGGATCCAATTCATTGACTTTCTCCCACCT